CACTCATCTAAGGAGTTGTTATAAAACGAGACACATTCTTCTAATTTAACATTTCTGTCTTGATTATGCCCCTTTAAAAATAAAACAGACACTTGGGGCAGAATTTCCCAAGGCAGCGCCAAAAGCTGCTTTGCTACTTGCAAGGGAAAAGGAGAAGCTTTGGAGAGTCAGTTTACAAGTAATTTCAAGCTGAAGTCTATCTATTTTCAAAGAAAAAGTTTCAAACTATTAAATTTAACTAACAGGTTCATGGGAGACTTACTATATTGACCTAGACACTGTAAAATACATACTGCTAACAAGAAAAAGGGATGGTTTAGCACTTGTTTATGATACAGCATGAGGTATTTTCAGCCCTTGTACAGAAATTAACCAGGATCGTTAGTTAATTAACACCTCACCTTAAAATTGGTCTCGCCTTGCATATTAGGTGCTGATATTTCTTGATGAATGATGAAGAGATTGCGAGCAAAGGTCATGAGGACCCCCTGGAGATCCTCTCCGATTGTTCTGTTAATGATATCCAAACAAATGAGTTTACCAATGATTCCCTTCACATGCTTAAAAACAATCGCCCTCTCATTTGTGCCTGTCTGGTGACGGAATTTAATGAGTATTTTCAATCTCACAAGGTGGCAATCTTCCGGGAGATATGAAAGATGAGGCTCCATTTTAAGTTGTCAACAGAACGGATTTGAGTAATAAATAATTTTTATTAATCAACTTTGCAGAAGCAAGCAGGAGGCTCCGGCTTACCACTGAATTAGGACAGAGACACTAGAACACTTGAAACTTCCAAGTGTTCCACTAGAACACTTGAAACTAGAACACTTGCACTTCCCTGCAAAACCAGATCCGATGCAGAGAAATTCCAGCAGCGTCAGCGTTTCTTAGACTGTTGTAGCTTACTTGGAAATACAAACTTTGCTTTTTGAGGCTTTAGGTTCTCAGTGGTGCCTATAGACTCAACACACATTACGTTACAGAATCGAATATTGCACCGAGGCAGCTTGTACCTCATTTACTGACTAGAGGTGACAATGAAGAGCTCTACACTGCAGGAAATGCATGCTAACCCAGAGAGATGCTTTAGCTATTTCAGTGATTTTATAACCTCAATCAGATTGTTACATCCTTGAAAATGTTTTCGAATTGAAATAATGAAATTGCATAGGATGTGAGAGAAGACAAATCTGGGATCAGAATGTGTGAACGACAGAGAACAATTTCTTTCTGGCAAATCCATTGCAGTGCTGTGGTCCCGTTTATTCTGTGATCACCTGCCCAACAACCAAAGCTCRTGAGCGCAGCCTCGGCTGGAGACCCAAGGTGCTTACGAGGGAGCAACCCCTCGTGTGCTATTCCAAAAGAGGTGGCAAAAAGAGAGTAGGGTGGAAAATCTCAAAACATTCTTTTTTAGTGACTGCAGGTGGGTGTATGGGGTAGCACAGGAGCACGTGAGCTTTAAAGGAACTGCTCCGTACAGAGAGCCAAGGAGCTGCAAACCATCTTTAGGGCTCATTTAGTTCATTCCCCGCGCGAGGGCAGGATCGATGCTACTGAGATCAGTCTTGACAGATGTTTGTCTAATCTGCTACTAAACACTGTCAATGACAACCTCACCAAGCAATCTATTTAACGCTTCACTTTCTGTCAGAAATTTTTCCTATGTTAAAGCTTGATTTTTCCTGGGTGCAAGTCAAGTCCATTTCTTCTACCACCAAAGCACGGAGAACTTACTTTTCCTCTCCTTCCTGAAGCAGCTGTTTATGTGTTTACGGACCCTTAGCAGGTCTCCCCTCCATCTCCTTGTTCTCATTAAGTCTCTCCGTGCAAGTCCCGTTTTCTAGATCTCTAAATATTCTTATTTCCTCCCTTTGAACTTCCCACTTGCTTTGTAGCTTTTCTGTGCCCCAAACAAGCAAGTTCTTCAACCAAGGCCTCAGCAGGACTGAGCAGGAGGCAGGGATTGCTTCCACAGCCTGGCAGGCTGCGTGTTTTTACCCATGAGGATAGTCCTTATTTCTTCCATAAGACGCTGATCTTGCCAACTTTGGGTCGGTCTGTGGCCCCCGTGACTCCCGGACCCTTTTCTCCAATAGTGACTGGTTGTTTTTCATCTTCACCACTACTGTCCCCGTGTCATTTCTCGCATCTCGTTGCACTTGAGCATGATTGCATTTTTCAGATTATTCCTTCAATTCCACAAGATAATTTTCAATTCTATGCCTGTTCTCCAAAATACCTGCAGTCMCATCCAGCAAACTAGCAAGCTGTTTCCTTGGGAAACAGCAGCCCCAAAGGAACAGTTGCAGACCGGGAGCGGACAATTTCAGACCCTCGCTCAATACACCCCATTTTGACAGCAAACTGTGTGAATTTCTTGAGGGGGGTTCACTCAGTGTTCAGCAGGGTTGTGCAYGTTGTGCACTTTGTGCTTTCTCAGGCTTCTTAGGGGAGGTTAATTTGTCTAAACTGCTACTGAAGCACCAGACTTGCTCCCGCTTCCCTCTGACTGCCAATGGTTGCTTGGTGAAGAACAATCCAAAGGGCATTAAATGCTCCCTTTCTAGCATCATCTCTAGTTATGATTTTCATGCCATTGAGTAGCAGACAAACAATTCCCCTTCCCTAGTTTTCCTCTTACTAACAGGACAGCTGGAAATATGTGCAGCTCTTACCGGGYATCGATCATTTTCTGTCTTGGCTCTTCTGATTTGGTGCTCTACTTATCCCTTAATTTATACCACCGAGAAGCAGGGAAGAGCAGCCCAGGCTCATCCTTTTGCTAGATTGCTATTGACACCGCATCTCGCTCCTCTCAAGCTAATTGCAGCGTGTTGTTAGCCTTCAGTGCAGACACACTTTAATCTAAGTGGATTCCGGTACCTTTTCACTTTTTTTTAAGCAAAGTGCCCAAAAGCCTCGCTAAAGTTTTTCACAAGGCTGCTCTGAGGAGGGGTCACCGGAGCCTTCTCGGGTGGCTCTGCCCGGACCTGCTGCCCAGCCTGGTTGCTCCCTGCCAGGCTCGTACAGGACAGGGCTCTCATCCTCCCTGGCTGCCTCCTGCCCGTGGCCGCCCGCRCACACTCACACTCACACCATGCCCAGCTGGCCTCGCTTCTCCTCTTCGTACAGCAGCAGAACCGTTCCCTGCTTTTCCTGTTAAAGAGAAAAACACTTCATTTACTTTTTCCCCAAACCGACAATTGCAATAATGAATACCTAATATGTTGTACAGGGACAGTAAGGACAYGATAATTTCTAGGAAAGGCTAGTTGACCCAAGCTCAGCTCCTGGCTGACAGCCACAATCCTTTTTAATAATCCATAACAATCCAGGACAATCCAGAATCCCACAATCTGGGTGACCGGAGCAGCCTGGGCAGCTCTCGCAGCTACCCCCGCGCGAGACGCTCTCCCATTCCCCATGTGTGGCACGAACAGGCACTTTCCATCCTTCCCTGCTTCCACTCAGCCCAAATGGGACACATCTCACAGCACTGCGGATCTCCYGAATTTGTGGTTAGCAAAATATCCACCAGCTAAAGCAAAGGGGCAGATGAGTGCTACCAGGCGGGGGTATTTTTATGGGAACTAAGCGAAGACCTCTATGCAATTTAGAGTTYGCTAGTTAGCAAAATAAAATAAAACCGATTCTGATTTGTGGTACTTATTTGCAGTACTTATTTTACTTCAAGACAASCCTAGAGCAAACACCTTGCAAACACCTTAGACTTACCCATTATATTATGCTAAACRGGACACTTAAACCTTACACTGTGCTAAATGGCTTCCCCACATCAGAATGAACATACATCATGCAGAGGGAATACCACATTTTCTAACCTTTCCYCCTTCTTACCTGGAGGTCAAAGCCGACACCATGAGCTTTGCACATCTGGAGGAGAACGTTATAGTAGATCACGGACAGGTTGGAGTGCCTCAGGTGGCTGCTGGCGACCGCGCAGCGCCTGCGTCCGCGGCAAAGCTGCAGAAACACCACAGCACGCTCCGTCCTCGTGGCATTTCATACCAGACACTGCTCGGTTGCTATTTAGACAAACAGCTTTTGATTTGCTCTGTTGTAGTAATGCAAGGGTGCAGCAAGTCCATTGCCTCACTTAGAGGGTTCCCCTTCATGACGACGTCTCCTGAACACTGCATTTCCGTGCAGCCTCTGCTCCCGTGCTGTACGTAAAACCCTAGATCACAGGTAGGTTCTACCGAACCAGTCTCCATGCCCCACATTTTGATATTTTTGTAATTTCATTGGTAATGGAGTCTTGTGTAACGGCTACGYTCGGGATACTCCAACCCCATCCTGACCCGCAGGAATGTCTGTTGATCCCGAGTCAAAGCCCAGCTCTTCTCCAGGGCAGGAATCCAAGGTGGATAATGAAGGACTTTGGCCCTAGGGATAAAAGCTCTCAAACAGATTTTCTCGGGTCAAATTTTAAGGGGATTTCACCAAGACTCCTGCATTAGGGCGCCCATTCTTTCCAGGCAGATCATAAGGACACCCGGCCCAGTGATTCCAGGTTGTYTCTGGATCACAATATTTGCAGATTTGTGCTGCCTAAAGGCCTGAATCTGGTCTGATCCCAAAGGATCCCAAAGAATCCTGTGCTGCTGGGAGAGGAGAGCACCATGAGTACAMGCGGTCCGAGATCAGTCCTATGTGACAAGGGCTGCTGATTTCACGCCAAGGCAATATTAACTCCAACTCGTTCATTATTAAAACGTCAGAACTGTCACAAAGTAATTAAAGCTAACTGTCAAAAACCTTAAATATGGCTCCTAATTAACGCAAAGTGACTGTGGGTTATGTTTATGGGGAGGCAGGCCGCCGAGACGCGGCAGTGTCTGCAGCGGTGACATCGGACACAGGAGCCCGTGTCACATCGGCAGCGCTCGGAGGCTACGTCCCCCGCGCCTGGCAAACCTGCGCCGGGCTCAGGAGAGGGRCCTGGTCGCACCTATAGCTTGCTGACCGTACATATAGTGTAGCCGACTGTACAATTGACCACAGAGGACTTCGTACTGCGGATGGAGTCACCCCAACACCCGAGTTTGGCCTCTCTTGGGACAAGAAAATGCTGAGTTGAGTGGAATTGAAAGGAGATGTTCTCCTAAAGCAGGGCTTTCCTGTGACATTCGGTGTGATCCGGGCTGTTCGTTCAAGAACGGGGATATTGCACGTCCAAGCGTGTAATTTACAGTATTTTTTTCCTAAAATAATATTTGTTTTGACATTGACTCATTTAAGTTGACATAGCTGAAGTCCTTCTATAATACATCTCTGCCTGAAAATTAATCATGTTTATAATATTCTGAGAATTAATAACACCCATTGCTCAAGTCATTAACTTAAAAAAGGAGCTTCCAAAATCTGTTCCCTGCAGTAGGGGCCCACAAATAAATGAATGCTTGATAAAATAATCCAAGTAGCAGTTTAACAAGCGTAAACTTGAATGTGGCTGCAATAACACAGAACTATTGTTTAAGGGTTGGCATCAGGTTGATGAGGTGCTTATTTCAGCTACAAAGCATGCATACACATGCATAATGAACTGCAGTATGAATTATTAATGTGTTGCTTATTTAGCCTCATCTGTCTAGAAGATAATGTATCCTAACTATAATGAGTGATTGGTTTTGTACATAATTACAGTAGCAGCAGTATCTGGGAAATTTGTTCTTTCAAGGAAGGATTTCTAAAAATAAAATCATCTTACAAACTCAGTTGCTGCTCCATTTTATCAAAATCAAGCCTACTAGGACTGCGAATATATAATAAATTAAAAGGGACAGAATCATTATTAACATCATAATTTTACACAAAGTGTTTTACTTAATCATTCATTACAGATCATGTGCTGCAAAAGCATTTGTCTCTCATTTTGTTTGTTCTTTTTCAGAGAGATTTTCAGCAAGAGTGTTTTTTGTAGTTAACTCTTACGGAGCTAAGAACCTCAGAAACACCGAAAGAAGAAAAATAGAGTGACAACTTCTGTTAATTCTGACAGAATTTTAATTAAAAAAAGTTGCTACTTGATTACTTTTCATTTCTAAAACTTGTACTACTGGGACCAATCATATCTAATTTACTTCTCTCCAACCAAAAGCGGTTGCTTGACAAGAACAATAGATCAAGGGCTCATTAACCTCTAAATTGCAGCTCTATGACRTTTTTGGAATGGGGTAACATTCCTCCTCTATTTACGGAAAAAAAAGGTGGCTTTAAATCTTCTGTGTAATCTGTAACTCTGGAGTAACTGTAATCTGTAACTCAGGGACAGCAAGAGGGAGCTTGACTTTCTGTTCCCYATTAGGAAACACCCCGGCCGGGGCGCCGGTTCTTCCTCTCCTTGCTCAGTGCCCGTGGCCTTAACGAACACTGAGGAATTGGACACAGAGCTGCACGTTCTGGGGAYGAACACTCGGGTTTAACTCAGTGAGGCCTGTCAGATACAGAGGTGTCCAGATCCTTTGGAGGAAACAYCCCCCATTTTCTCCCTCTCAGTTTTGTGGATGAAATTATAAAGCTGGGGTAGAACTTCAGTGTCCTAACCTCCAATCCCAATCCAGAGCTTGTGAGCTCAGGTTCTTGCTTGACCACTTTTAAGGCACTCCTGTTGTCAGGGCCTCTGACCTCCTGGCCTGATCTTGCAGCACATAAATCACCACCTTCCTTACAACACGAAAACTACACAGAACGCTTATAAGTTATTTGCTACCATAAATCAATATTATTGAATGGAGGGGCTAAATAATCAGGTGTCCACGAACACCCGGAACATTTGTTTTAATTTCTAAGATGATGGTCGTTTAGTTCAACACGCTCCTAAAATCTAATAGCAGCAGCTCTGTTACACAGATCAAGACCAGTGATCAGATTTTAACTTTTGGATAACATGCATTAATAATWTCATTTGTAAACAAACCATTGCTTACAGTTTGCGTCTCTTCCTGCTTAATATGATGGCTTCTTATTTTCTTTGATCCCAGTGGCACTTGAAAGAGGCTAGAGTGACAATCCAGGTTTCCATCTGTCACATACAACATGAGCTGAGTCAAGGCCAGCTGGTCACTATAGCAAAGGTCAAGGTCTGTTGCCCACACCTATTCAAAACACAAACAGTGACATTAAAAAAAAGAGAACAGTGACATTAAAAGAACATTAAGGACCATTTCATACATGTTGGTGCACATGACTATGATTTTCTTGGCTGGCAATGATAAAGAATTTCTAGATTGGAGCAATCAAAACCTAGGTAACTTTCCAAGATAATTTACCAAAGACAACTGAAAGGCCAAGGGAAAAACAAAAGGTAGTTACCTTTACTAGGTAGATTTTAGTAAGAATTAAAGAAAGTAGATAGATGAGATTGGAAAGTATAGAGCTTGGATCGCACTGCTTATATAACTACTAAATATCGCACCTGGATTTTCCAGCTGAAGAACAGTTAAATAAAGTCAACCTTGAGTTACAAATACATGGAAAAAGGGAGGTCCCGAAGGCAAATCTAAACSGTGAGTGAAAGACCTACTCAGCTGTAGAATCTCCATTTTAAAATGCATTGGTTGTCACGGGGGCTCTGCAAAGAATTAGCAAAGAAATACACGGTCTGATGAAAGAGCGACCCGCGGCCATGCAGGATATTGCGTGGCCACGTGCCCAGCTCGGCTCCCTCACCTTCCTCACCTTCCTCCCGGGGTCGCTGCACAGRGCGGATGGGACCCGGCACCGCAGGGCTGCGGCAGAACGGTCAGCATTAYTTTACCCCCGCGCTTTTCCCATTTAAAAAGCACTTGTGTCTCCTACACCGCTGAGAAACGTTAACGCACGCAAATATCTGCCCTACAGTGGACCCCTTTAAAACAAATCTAGCAGTGAATGACTCGAATAAGGCTTTGAATAGTAAATGGAGTCATTATAAGGATATTAAGAGGTCAGGCAGTCAAGGCCTCTTGGTAAACTGGAGTTAATTTCTGAATCATATTCACATAGTAATGCCCTTTTTATAATGGTGAATAAATCACATCAGTAACAGTTGTTAATAACTAACTGCCAAGTATCTGTTGCTGTATTAAATATCCTATTTGTCAACTTAAATATTTCCTGCCGCATGGTATAAAATGCAAATCTTATGCTAATGGCTGGCTTTCCTTTGTAATAGGGGAACTTTCTCCAATTACAGCGCTTAATTTTCTTCAATAATTTATCCAGCAGCATCACTTCTGCAAGACAGGAAGGAACTTCCATATGCACTTGGACTTCTTCAGTATGCACTAACCCTCGCAATGAGCTACGCAGTATTATAAACAATATGTGCTGTAAGAGCATTACATTCATTTCGGTAAATATTAGCAAAACAACAGCACTCAATGAGTTTTGAATCTTSAAGTGGATCCTAGGATCTCAGCCAAGGCTTTGTGCCCAAATAGACGACCAGGTTACGCGACTGCTGAATATCTTAAGTTCATTTGTTTGGGTCCGACGCGTTGGACGCCCAGGGTCTATTCCTGAGCTCAGACAAATGAAGTGGTAGCTCCCAGCCCAGCCCCTGACGTCGCATCTGCTTTGCACTAAAGTCCAGAGTTTTGCTTTACTTAATGATTTTACTTTCTGGAGGTTTTGCTGCTGGGTGAACAGAGGTAGGAGGCAGGCTAGGGTGGAGATGGACCATAAAATGGGCAGGTGGAAGAAGGCTCATGGCTTGCCCGTTTATCTCCGCCTTCACCCTCACACAATTAACAGCTTGGATCAACAGGCTGTGCAGGCAGGGAGGTGTCCATCACCTCCCCTKGCCGCTCCTGCCTCTCCCCGTTGCATGAGGGACATGGAACAAGGACCCAAGGACCTTGCTGTAGGGCCATACAACAAAGATTCCTTGTTGTATGCAACAAGGCCAGGCCCTTAGCAGACTTTTCCAGTGGGTTTGGAAGTTGAGCAAGCCCAAGTCTCGCTGCTGGAGCGGCGTGAGGACCACRGCCGGGCAGCTGCTCGTGTGGTTCTTGTTCTGCAACCAGGCAGCGGGCATCTGTTTGCTGGCTCTATCAGCCTGGCACCTTTCGCCAATAATATATCAATATATATTCCCAAATGGAAAGGGGGAGCTCATTAAATTACACTAAGCACATGTTGACCATATTGAAGTTAGCGGGTGTCCCTTGAGTGTAATGACCTAAAATTAATTGCAATAAACAATGAAGAAGCACCAGAATCCTTCGTACGTGTATCTGAAGACTTCTAATGAGCTGAACTCCATCACTGACGACTCCTCATTTTCTGTGAAGAAGTCACCAAGCTCATGCCAAGAACACATGGATTTCTATGGGTTTGAAGGTGCTCTTCTGCACGCAGARCTAAACCAGTCCAGCTAGAGCTGCCATGAGCACTTGGTATGGAAAAGAACACGCGTTAAGAGATATATCTAATATTAGAGCATGGAACAGAGGGCATCCGCAGCACYAGGATCTACTTATTAGCTTAGTTAATGCCACAGCAGGCAGAAAGTGGCTGCTCWGTGACAACCGCACGTGGGTCACCTGCCTGTTCTGGTGGCACAGGGCACTGCTTGGCACTCGTTTGCTCTTGCAAGCTAAGAAAGGAATTACTCAGCAGCTACAGCCGCTCATACTAGTGAATGGATTTCAACATGTTTCCCTCTAAAGCAAGAGCAAAYGGGTGTCAAAGCTGCTAAATGCCTYGAAAACCTCAGCCGGGCGTGTGGGGGGTTGYTTATTATATGAATATATTTCCATAGTTTATAAAGCAAAGCCTGGGGAGGCTGGGCAGTTAATAACCAGCGGAGTTGGTGTCTCCGGCAGTAAGGTAGGAGCTCATTGAAGAAGATCTGAGCAAAGGTCAGGTTTAAATAAAGACCCAAGACCAATACAGCCACACAAACATGCTCAAGTCCATCCTCATTTTCTTAGGATATACAATAAGGGCACCTATGCATTTAATGTCATGTCTCAGTTGGATTGCACGGCAAATTAATGTGACACAAGCACATTTAACCTGGRATTGCAGGACTTTCACAGGACTCCCACGATCTAAATATTTCTGGAAAGATTCTCTCCCACAACTCTAATTTCCACACGTAGCAGTGGAGCACTTGTGTTCAGAAATGAAACTGGAMCAGGACTCATTTGAAGCCTGGAACCAACACAAGGTTTTTCAGACAAGGGAAAGTTCAAAGATAATCAGAGCTGGATTTTTACACCAATTTATGGTTAGAAACGAARAGTCAGTTTTCCATATTGTGCTGTAGTGAAGACTTTAGGCGTTCACAACTTCATGCACTTTAGACTAAGCTAAGAAGAGCACAGATTTAGGTTTTCAGAATCCCAGCACTGGAAAAGAGTACTCAGAAATCCATCCCGGCAGACTCTTTGTCCAAGGAAATACAAAAAAGCCTGGAATTCTCACCCAGGCTGCCAAAAGCTGCTGCTCTCCTTTGGCATGTGCAGCCTAAGAGGCTGTGCTTCACGCTAAGGGCATCTCAAGTGAATAAAGCCACAATTATAGTGTAGTTCTTTACAGCTACCATAAAAACGCTTCGGCTTTAAAACATAAACTTGAGAAGGGAAGGAAACATAAATTCTTAAACAGTTACTAAATTATAGCTTTTCTTGCTCCCCTTTAATTGTTTTATCTGCATCTAGTATTGATGTCTACATTATTGTAAAGAGCACACCTGCTATTTTTAAAGAAGTAGTTGAATGGCACTGTAAAAATGTCAATTAGTAAAATATTAATGCAACTCGGGCTTGAGAAAGGAGCTTCTTTTATTACTTTTAAAATTCGCAGAGGAATTGATCATTGCGCYGCGGAGAGGCTCTTGCCTGGCTGCCATCTAGTGGCTCTGCATGAAAAAACTTATTTTCCTGAATTTCCTGATTCTTGCCSTGCACAGCGTGAGATTGGAAGAGGGTTAAAGGAAAAGATGGGGCTCCTTTCTAGAAATAACACCCAGAAAATGTGATGTTCTGCTAGAAAATGGCTGGAGGAAATTTCAGCTGCACGTGTGGATGCAGAAGCTGGGGTCCCACCAAAGGCACCCGCATGTTCTCTATGGGGCAGCCCCAACTGCTTCATCTTTTCCTTTCCATCGTGAACCACAGCACTACACCAGGCACTTCTATTCCTAAGAGAATCCCAAGATTTTTTTTCATACAATTTCGATAGGGTCGAAATTGCTCTGTCCTCTCTCTAATTCTTTTTAGTTCTGCAAAGTATGTAAAGATTTAAAGGTATTAAACTTGATCCAGGCTTTTCTCCCTCTTGCTGGGAAAGGTGTGGGGACATRTAACCTATCAGGCCAAGGAAGAAGGTGACTTACGGCCTCGCTTCTCCAAATTATCTGTCCRCAGGTCTATGGAAGTAAATAAATTTATTATTCAAACAGTCCCACTCAATTAAATGGCCTTAGTTAAGTGCAACTACTTGACAAGTTGGGGTCTGAGAAGCATCCAGTCAATAGCATGCAAGGCTCTCGTTAGAAGGGTCAAGGCCTCTCTTGCAAAGACCAGGCTTGGAAAACTGAGTGGAAATCAGGAGTGATTTAAGTTGTGCGCTTAATTTTTCCACTCTTTTTTTTCTCCACAAAAAATATTGAAAATGGCAGGGCTCCATCTCCCTTTCCCTAGGCAGGAGATCACAGAGCTTTGGTGCTATTACACAGAGCAATACAACAGAGCACGAGGGCTGAAGGAAAACACTTACCGGCAGTAACAACTTCATATATATAAGCAGTACATCCTTGTTAACACCAATTTTCATGTGTTGTTTAAAGATTTTTTGCAGGTTTTCTGGGTAAAAAGCCACATATCTGCCCTCTGCTCATCTTTGAGTGAATACACAGGGTAATACATGTGATAACACATATTGCAGCACGAAACTGTTCAGTCTGCTAAAGCAGATATAGGATTCCACTTATTTAGCCCCTCACATTTTTTTAAAAAAGTTGTATTTATGCAGCATGTAACTGCATGAAGGTTTCAGGGTTTCTCAAGTATTTAAATACTCTTATATTACACTAGTAACAGATGTTCAAGGATATATTTAATTTTAGCTTTACTGAAAATACAGTATTTTCAGCTGATATTCTGTGTAAAATGCAGCTTTGAAAGGATGTCTGAGTACCCTCCACTTGCAGGAAACTTCTCTGAGCCTTTCARCCAGGGCATTAAAATGGGCACTTCTGAAATCAGTGGGTAAATGTTTGGAGAGCCTAATAGCATTTCTTGTTTGCCAAAAAACAGGCTTTCAGAAGCACAATCTTTTGTATAATCTCTCTCACAAGACAGATGGCATCATTAATTGGCTCAATATCTAGTTAAATTAAAAAAAAAAAAAAGGTTTAAATACTGTTAAAATTGTGGTGTGCCAAAAAATATAGGAAACCTTACGGTAGAATCAACTGAAAACAGGGAAATAAAACCAAGAGAGAATGGAAAGAAGCATTAGGAAACCACATGAAGCCTTGACTGATTTACTATGTCCTTGTTTATGCCAGGAAATGCCCCAACCTTAATAACCAAGGAAGCATTTCTGTGTGTGGGTCAACCCCCAGCCCTACTGAAGCAAATGGCAAAACTGCCACTGACTTCTGGGGCTGGCAATGTCAAACCTTCATCTTTTAGAGGCAACTTTACATGGAAATTATCCAGCCTGGCTTATCCTCAGGTCTAATTGCAACTCCCATGTAAACACATCCAGGGAGTGAGATGCAATTGTGATCCACATTTCGGTGTTAATGAGTTCTGATTCTCTGGTTTGCTATGGTCACCTCAGCCTATCGGTTACCAAAAGCTTGGTTTTAAGCCTTCGCTGTACTTAAAATGGAATTCAATTATCATAGCACTGCCAAAGAGCCTGTCTTTGCCAATAGATACCACATGCCAACTCTAAACACAAGCCCTGCACTCGAAGCCTTTGCTCACACTGCCCAAGCTGGGATTTGCAAAGATGCCTACGAGAAGCAGCCCTTGCATGCAGAGACCCATTCCACCTTGGAAAACTCCAGCCATTCKGCTGAGCTTAGCTGAGCAAAGAGACATATTTCCATTTACAGCTGTACTTTTTAAACCCTAACTGAAGGTCCTAACTGAAGGGTGCAGAAGACAACAGACTCGCTCAGATAACCGGGCGACTGCAGAGTCCGTGTCCAAAGAGCTAACAGACAGAACGGCCCATGGGAAAGTGCCTCAGTTGAACCCTTGGTGCTGAGATTTTGAATTATTATTATTATATATTATCAAATGCTAACACTGAACGTGGTGGTTGCACTCAGTAAGCACACAAACATTAGCCAGCACTAACAACTAGGATTTTACTTTCTTCAAAAATTACTTCATTTTCTTTAGCCTACAAACACAAGACCACTGCACCAGTGTCCTTCATCCAGGTGGGATTTTCTTTCTCAGTCTGGCATTAGGCTTCAGGTTTGCATAACTGTCATAATATTCAGTCCCATCGGCCAATATCAACAAAATTTGACAAGAAGGTAAAAACATCAAATGTATTCAGCTCACAAAAGATTGCTAAAATAGGCAGCTGGATAGAGGAAAGGGACTCACCAGTGATGCTGCAATGGGAAAGGCTGCAGAGTGAGCTCAGCTACAGAATACGTAGCTTAACTTCAAGACAAATCTCTAGGAAGCCTGGCTTAACTGATACTACAGCTCATGAAAATGTTTTTAAACATAATATAGTATTCAGTGATACTCTGCATTTGCTTTCTGTTGTGTCTGACTGGTGGAAAAATTTAGCAGATCACATTGAAACAAGGATATCTGATGTTATAAAASAAATGCCACAATTACTCAAGAATAGAGGAATGTCAGATGAGTATTTTGTTATAAGCTGTCATCCAGACTGATCATTAACATTCATGCGAGTAAGTAAAGGACAAAAACACGGAGTAAGATTTAGCTGGAAAGCACGTTGCAAGTTGCTAATGGAATGAGATCCATCTATTGTGAATCCTACCAGAGGCACTAATGAACAGAATGAAATGAAGGCTAGGATTTATTTTGGGCACATACACTGCAACTTTACCGCCTGTTAATACAACTTCACCTCCAAGATAGACCTTAATGAGGGAATGAGGGAAACTCACCTGCAACTACAGCTCTGATTACATTGCTCCTTTTGATCCATCCTCTTACCTGCTTGGTCCTTGGCCCTGGCAGAAGTGTGCATTACAGATGTGAAAATTCAGCTATTCCTGAGGAGCAGTGGTGGCCACAGCCCCTCTGCTTTCCTGCCACCTCTCCTAGGCAGCAGCAGATCCTGGAGCGGATGCCCTCCCGCTGCCTTGATTTATCACATCACCTCTTACGTTGTCAAAAGTCCTGATACTGCTGACTATGAGGTTTTGTTGATAGACTTGTAGGCAGGGAGGAGCAGGGTCACTGGAATGCTTCAGATTTCACCTTTTAAAGAGGTCCCATTACTCATCTCTGCAAAAGCCTCTCCTGGACAAGTGTTTATTTAGCTCCTTCTGTTCTTAGTTATTCCTGCCTGCTGGAAGTCACAGGGTGCTCCAGCACCCCAGATACTACATGGGCTTCCTASTGGCATGTGCCCTTGTAGGTAACCCAAAGCCTTAACCTTGGAGTACCATAAATTAAAATGCTGTATCGTTCAGTTTAGGCTCCCAAAAAGGCCAGCCATGTGTTTGTGCAATGTGTACATGCAGTTCACACGCCCACAGCATCAAGGCTTCAGGACTAGGAAAAGGGTGATAAACTGCAAGGTTCTATCACAGAACTGAACCTCCTAAGAGGTCCCACAGCAGCTGGATCTGCTGCTGTTCTGCTGAGAGCAAACAAGCTGCTGACTGCCCACAGGTCACACTGCAGCAGCCAGCGCTGGAGCTGGGCTGGACCCGGCTGGCGAGAAACTAGCTTATTAATAAAGTTAAAATAATCCATACAATTATTCCTTGCAGGACAAAATACAAGGGAGTCATAACTGTCAACATTYGGAAACTAAAATCCTCTCTTTGGTCTTAACCATGAAACTACCCTCTGTAATTACCACATTATTGCAGAGTGCACTTATTTTAGGTGAAGGAAAGTCATTTGAAGGTGAAAATATTATTTTCTTATACTCTGCTTTGAAAGAAACCCTGCAGGCATTGCTGAGCTGTTACTCTTTAGGCCAGAGAGRAAGATTCCTCAGGTCTACATTTTATGATGTTGACAAAGTAACAGCACGCACCTCTCCACATGCTTCCCTGCTTAGAAACTTGCTCAGAAGGGCAAAGCTTTTTCCCATTATCTGTTGGGGTCATGGAAAAGCGTAGGCAGTTCTTGACCTTTGGGGGACACAATGAAGTCACGTATCTGCTCCACTCACCTGCTGCTCCAGTGTTTGTGGATGGATGAAAGTCACAAAGTCAATGGAAAAGTAACCGAGCACTCCTTTGGACTKGCAGGTCTCTCCAATTTTTAAGCACAGGGAATTAAGGACCGCTGGATCAACAGAGCATTGCGGAATGGTAGTGCCAGATGAGCGCAGAGGACCGTCAGCATGGAGCTGGTCTCCAGATGACACGAYTTTTATGTTGCCTGTTGGTTCTATCAGCATATCCACTGTGAGGTTTGTGACGTTTTCAGAGAGCGGGAAGGCTTCTATCACACCACCTAGTAAGAAATGAATGAGCAGTTAAGTTAGCAGTAAAACTCCYATACGAAGCTCTTCTAGAGTGAACCTCCCAGCTCCTCTTGTGCTCAGCCATTGCAGACACTGCTGTGGAGGCACACCAAGTAAACAAATGCAAGGTGAGCAGCAAAGCTAGACCCATGAATCTCTTACAAGAGAAACGTGGTATCTCCACCACTCTAGCGCTGCAGCCCTGCACAGTTCAGCTGGTGGCTTTAGAGCTGCAGGTGCTTTTGAAAGCAGTTCCTGGAGCTTTATCACATACCTGATGGAACAAATATGCTCCTAGGTGGCAGGAATGAATCCTGGGCTGCCCCCTGCCCAGCTAATTGCCAGAATGGTATTGCAGGGGCAACGTGGCAACATTCGGGGGGCATTATCTCCAGCTGTGAACTACTCTTGGCATACATTGTGCTGCATACARTGATCTGAGATAAGCAGGACTGTCTGCTGATGCTCATCCCCGTGAGGAAACTGCTATGTAGATGGGAAGGCCAGAAAAGCTGACAACTCTCAGCATAGTTGCCCATAGGAAATCACAGAGAGGAGACTATTTGGCATTCTGGGACTGTCTTTCCACTGCATACAACGCCATAATGCATTTAGTTAGGATGAGCTAGGATATAATGATATATGTTAACTGGTATTGTTTTTTCCAAAAATRCTTTCAATTTTTCGAATTGCCATTGTCAGTTCAGCAGATAGAAATCTCTGAAATGCCTATATCTATTTTACATAATACGAAAGAATATAACTGCCGGGCAGATTACCACCGAAATTTACTACCCAAGCCCAAACACCGCATCTTTTTCAGGCTAAAATTGGCCTCCTAATATAGGATTTAAACATTTCCATGCAAAGCCACTCACAGATATACTGATATGTAGCAATTAGACAACACTTATCTGTGCTGCCTTTTATGGCTGACCACAGTCTTGCTTCCAAACGGAGCCAGTTGGACGGGGGCCAGCCCTGCTGCAAAGGTGCCCTGGCTGAATAAGAGCTGGCAGCCCTGCCGGGGGCTCCGCACCGCGCCAGCAAAACCACCCAGCCTGCAGACTGCAGCTCGCTGCTGTTCCTGTGGCTTGGAGAGCAAGGAATAGCCCAGCAAGGGCCTAACTGCAAGTTGGCGCCCATATTCTGTGCAGTGCAATAAAGCACAACTTCGCTTGTGCTTGCCACAAAACCTATTTGGGGGCAAAACTCCAGGCAGAAAGCTCATTTTGCTCATTTGCTTAAAGGTTACGAGCACAGTTGACTTTATGCGATGCACATATATAGCATGAAAAGTGCACGCCAGCCATGCAGGGTTCGCTACTATGGGAAGCGAACCAAGGTCTTGCAGGTGTTTCCTCACCAATACTTAACAAAAATGGAAATATGTGCACGCTCATATTAGCACCTTCCCTAATGAAGTCCTCCCCAAACGTGACAGTCTCCTGCACAGCACCCCACCCCTAAGGAGTTAATGTTTATTGACTGACAAGCATGTGGGAAAGGTAATCCAGGATTAATATGGGTTAAATGCTTGGTAGGATACATGAATGATAGAAGAGTTGCCTATAATTCATTCTTAAAAGAACATTTGAAGCATAAGGGGAGAAATAAAAGGAGATAAATATTTAAATGGGCCCAAGATTAACAAGAATATGGTATACAATATGGTATAATTACTCCTTTTAACACTTTAACAGCRACTTTGCAGTCTTATTTACCTTGACTAAGAAATGTTTGGAGGAATTTTTCCCATGTAGGGAATCGTTTCTCATTGACTGGCTGTACGTGCTGTGCTAAAAGGCCCGGCAGCTCCTGGGAGATCTTCGCCAAAGCTGGCTCCTGCAGAAACAAATTAAATAGAACCACAAGCAATTTTACTACAGAAATGAAAACTGCTTGTGGGGTGATTAAAAACCAGGCCTCCAACAGGCAAAAAAGAAAAAAAAAAGAAAAAAACAAAARGAAAAGGGGAAAAAATTAAAGAGAATGTGGTTACTGTTTACCCACAGTCAAGGAGCCTTTTTAAAATTTTTCTACTTTCCTTCCTTTTGAAAACTGTCTTTCTCTGAAAGATGATTTCCCACCTTTCAGTATAGCATCTATTTTATCATAATTGATATCAATAATTTGATGTGACAACTGAAAATGCTAAGCACTTGGCAGCTGCTCGGTGATCAATATCAGCAGTCAATAACCTGTTTTTATTTTGAAACTGAGCTTATTGAAGTAGGCATATATGCCAGAAACAGTTTTACTGACTCTCTTTATGTATAAGCTGTTACATAAGCCAAATCAAAATTCACCCTGTAGTTATAACAAATTTCAGGCCAGAATCTACCAAAGAGGTTTATAATGCAGGGGATACCCTTATTACCCTCCCCTGTCTTTATAATAAATTCCTACGTGAATTTGCATTGCTAATCTTTGGTAGAATTTCATTTATTGTGCTACAGGATACGAAGTAGCTTGTCCCTGCTTTTAAATTCTTTGCTATATTATCACACACACAAAACCACCCCATTAAATACCGAAACCAACTGCATTGCTTTTACTGTTGCAAACAGTCCCAGAAGCAGAGGAGCATATAAAGTGCAAGGACCCTGACTCGATTGCTTCAGGCTCCCTTTCCTGCTGCTTCACAAGCATTCCCTGCCTTCCCCCGGGTCTCTTTGCTTCTCCTGTCGATCCTCTCTCTCCAGCTTCCAGTGCTTCAGAAGATGACCGGCCATCCTGGGACCCCAGCAATAGCCTAAGCCACAACTGTATTATCTTTAGCTCTGGAGGAACATGGTAAAACCTTATGGATAACGTCTATAAAGAGAAAAACAAACATTTTTTTTCCAGGGCAGGGAATTTGGAGAGGTTTTGTCATGATGTGACATACCTAAAAATATGAATTCAAACCAACTTACTGTGATTTATCTACCCAAATGAGAAGGAGGCTGAGCAATGATTAGGGAGTCAACGTGGCGCATCAATATATCTTATTCCTGGTTGTGCTTCCTGTGAAATTCTGGGAAGATGACTAGGTTCATGCACAAAACCCAGTGCCTTGCAGAAAGATGACAGTGGCTTTAAAAAATAGAAGTTCAAGMAAYCTGGGAAAACGTCCTTGTGAGATCTAGCACCTAAATAGTCAAGTCGTTCACAGAGGGTGAATCACTTTTTAAGGAAAAAAAGGTAAAGTGGTTACCTTTTAAAGGTAACCACTTTTTAAGGATCAGCACCAGGAATTCTAGTTGMAGTGGGATTTTTTTGTTTGTTTGTAATTGTAAGCTCTAAAAAGGCAATAATCCTGATTATAGGGAGTTCTAGTAGACAAATTCCAGCCCAGATCCAACACTCACTCATGAAATCAAGCCTTTTAAAAGGATGACTGCTCTGTAGGGCTAATTTCATTTAAATTGGACGGTATCTCCAGCAGAGCTCACCCATGTTTTACCTCTTGATGTGGCCCCAAACAATCCAGAATCAGGCTCAACATGAGCAGAACTTTCAGCTCATCTTTCTTAGCATCAGCAAAACGACAGCAGGCCAAATGTTATTACTACATGATACAGGARTGTGTACATCCATCCAAACCTGTTTTTCCTTTTTTATAACGTGATGAATAAGCATGAAGAAAATACACCTTTCCCTCTTTCAAAATAAAATAATTTCTCACGCTGCTGCAAGCTGAATTTATGAAGGCTGCCTTAAAACAACAACAGAAAAGGACTGACCATGGGGTATGTTGAAGGAACTGAGAGATGCACTTGAGAAAGACCAGTGCACAGAAAAGCCTTTGAGAAGACAGGGATATGAACAGAAAGATGAAACAGAAATCCAAAGAAAGACCTGGGGACAGAGAGAGGTGGCAGAGCAGAAAGCGTGAGAAAGGCCTGAGGCTTTTTAGCTAAAAAGTCAGATTGAAAGGAAATTATTTAGACCTTGCAAGCAAATAGCGAAGAAAGTAATTCTAAATAAATAAACCTGAGTGAGCCAGAGAAGAAAAATCAGCAGACGGATCCTTAGCAATACAAAGGGCCATGTCGCCGCTGAAGTCAGTGCAGTTATAGCAGTTTATGGCAGTTATGCAGTAGATTATCCCTTACCCTGTCAGCGGGGCAGCTCTGGTAGCCTAGTGCAGCTGCCTGGATGTGACCTGGTCGAGCCCTCCTTGCTCTTCTCTCTTAGCTCCACCAGCTAACGTGGCAGTGCCAGGAAAGCCCAATGATGGCAGCATTTGCATTATCTCCTACTTTGSAAATTGAACTGTTATTGATATTTTTTCCCAATTCAAACAGGTAAATGCTGGTCACAACTACAATCCACCCCACTGTAGGGCACAATCTGACAGCTTTAAAACATGGAAGTGTTTTTGATGACGATATTCTGCTGGCCCTACCTACTGGAAGTTTGAAAACTGATTTAAAGACCAAGCGTTTAATTGCCAGCTGCAATTTTTAAAATTAAAAAGTGCCAATTCTGCCTTCCATGAGCCAGGAAAGCACATCCTGATAGAAGGCAGCATCATGTAAACCAGCCACCATTACCGAGTAACACAAATGTTCTTTGTATGTAAAATTGCTCCGTAAAATATTTGCTCCATCTGCTGAAGGCAGCAGAGACGATTTTCCCTGGTAGCTAATGGGCCGTTCCARGCGGGTGCCGAGCGCGACGGCGGGGCCGGCGCGCGGAATTCGCCACTTAGGCGGCATTATCCGCTCGCTCGCCGCTTCCCGGGAGCCCGGCCTGCTCCGCTCCCACTCCAGGGGCTTTTTGTCCAGCGTGGGCACATATGCTCTGCTGCGGGCCCTTGCCTTGCCTGGCAGGACGAGGAGGTTAGTTCTTTCAACTTTGCAGCACTTAAACTGCTGTTCCTTTTTTCCACGCCACATGGGGCCGCGGCTTTCTTCTAGCTCACGCCGTCGCTGCACACGCTGAGGATGGCAATGTATAAAGATCAAGCGCTCCTCCTAATTCTCATTTCAACTACATGCACACACACAAAAAAAGCAGGAAGCGGCGGCCGCCTCCGAAGCCCCCTCCCCGTTGCTGGAGCCTCATTGTGCGCCGCGCCGCTTACCAGAGCTCCATTGAAAAGCACATGTTCGCATTGTGCCCCGAACTACTCCAACATCTGCTAACAGACCAATAAAAAATAAATAAACCAGGATTGTTTAGAAAGAAAGATCCTTTCATTGCCTCCGCACGCGCCTGAGCGGGCAGCAGCAATATGGTGCTGAGATCCTTTTCTGTAGTCGTCATCCCGGGAAACGACCGAGGCAGGGAAAGCAAATAAAAAAGCACCATACCCTGTGAGAGCAAAAATCRGGCAAAAATAACATCTTAAAAGCAGTATGAGCTTGTTCGGGTATTTCTACATGTTTGCACACGGAATGTTCATTTACGATCTTGATGATTTTATTCAAGAGTTTGCTTTCCTAYTACCAAAATAATCCATGTAGATTGATATTTTGTGCATAAAAGCATATTTCTGGAGAGATGGTGCCCTTCATTTCTAGCGGTTCCTCCTGTCTAATGAGGAAAACATTACACAATTGTCTTGTTCTTCTAAAAGCTCTATGAAAATATTGCACTGTTTCAATGCAGTATTTGCAAGATTGTGACTCTGGAATGAGGATACTCACCTCAGAAAACGCAATAACTAATATTTCAGTGCATTTTTTATATATTTTAATTAGATCTCTGCAAATGCACAGTGAATTTAGATTGGTAAGATTCTCCTAATCAGTTTATTTTTCTGTATTTCAAGCTCTCTACATTTTGTAGACTTTCTTTTGCCCTCCTCTCTGTCCCATTTCCCCAGGGAAAGAATTTTAATGAACTCCAAAAGTATGATTTAAAACAGGAAAAAAGGCACCGTATGCAGAGCCCCTTCCCAGGGACCRTGTGTGAATCCCAGGGCTGCAGCACCAGGGATTTTTGGCAGCCAAAACCCCTCCTTGCGTTTCACAAGCAAAACACAGATTCCTTTTATTCCTAGGCATTGTCTATGTGGTGCTTTTTGGATTTTAGCAAAACAAACATTTTTAAAATAATCCAAGCAGGCATTTTATTGCATGCGATAACATTAACAGATCTGAGATTTCTTTACTGCTCTTGCTTTATCCTCTCCTTCCGCGCTGTTATTGCTAAAAACTGGCAGTTAAATTCAATTGATTCAAAATTTTCCGGATCCATATGGCCTAAAACCCTGGAGCTGAAGTTCTGATATTGCCTCACTGCTGTTTTCCAGCATTTGCCTCTACTCCAGTCCCCAGATGGTGGAAGTAACATTTAAACCTCCTTTCCTCTGCCTTGTACAATAGACCTTGGCACCATTTCAACTGTTTACTCCGGTAATTAACAGCACTGATACCACAACAATTACAACTCCTACAATCTTAACACAATAATGCTATGAATTAGTGAGAGCTAATGGCTGGAAGGTATAGTGGTTCCAGACTGCGAGATCTGTGCATTTTTAGAATAAAATAAAAGGTACAAACAGCACGCTTGCGGTAGACAATGATTACCTAGTAATTAGTTTACACAAAGCTTCCTATTTAATGGCAAAACGCTGTAATTAACGCGTGACAGAAAATCAAAGGGTACTTTGTAAGCATATGAAAAATTAACACTGCAGGCCTATAGTTTTATGTACTGATTAGAAGCATATTAAATCAATAGGACATACAAACCAACAGCTTGCATATCTGATGATTGTAAGGCTGCGGAATGGATATCATGGTTTTAATTTAACCGAGGGACGCAATTACCATGCTTTATTTTCCTTAGGATTTGGAAATTACCTGAAACATCACCGTGGCAGCTACATAAATGTAATAATAGACTGAATGAGATYGCCGCAGATTGCTCACCGATATGGTGAATATGTGAATATTTAGGACATTTTGTTGACAGAGCACCGTGCCCGTCCTTGTATAACTTCCAGCTTTTTTTTTTTTTTGTTTGTTTGTTCTGTGGGATATCAGGTCTTTCCTTAAGCCTTTCTTTCTCTTTTCCTATTAAACACCACATCAAGTGAGAAGAAATTTTAAAGGCCTATCAAAATGCTGTAAATGGATTTTTTTTTGGTTGAATTGTCAGAGTTTTTGGCCCTCTTCAGGCAAGAAAAAATATCACACCTGCAATTGCGTGTGCACAAAAGCAGCAGCAGCAGAGGCCACTTGTGGAAGGAGCCTCGCCTGGGCCCCATGCGGTTGCACCAAGGCCAACGTGCCGGCCTCCACTTTTTCCTGCAGTTTCTGCAGTATTTGCTGCATTGCTTTAGAGCAAAGCTGCTGATGTTGCAAAAGGGGACAAAAAAAAAGGGGTGAAAATGGCTATTAGAAAGAGGGAAAAAGAACACAACTTGAGGACTCTATAGTGTTCTGAAATTATAGCGTTCCGGCAATGCCAGGTTTCCAAAATTAATTCTCTCACAGTACAATGACTGGATTTGTTTATAAACATAAGCTCTTTTCTCTGAATTCTTTGCTTCAGCAAAGAAACATTTTTAGGAAATGAAACTCATTCAACTAGTTAAACATCTCTTCCTCACTATTCCCAGATCATCACTSTTTATCTAATTACTTCTCATAGGACTTCCAAATTTTTACCARTTACCCTCAGTTTTAAGATACAGCCAGCATTTTATCTTGTCCTTTCAAATTGTAATTTTCCAATAGAAACCAATTGCTAAGCCTACACCAGAGTTTGAATATGGCTTTTCCGACACTGAAAAATTTTGGGGTTCTGTTTGTTACCACCTTCTGAAAGCAGATGTGGAGCTTCTGTTGCTAATTTTCATGAACTAACCAGGATATGGTCTATGTGAAAGAGAACTGACCCAATACTGCGATGTGGTTGGAGATGGTGAGATTCAAGCACTGCAACATTTGAAATAGCAGGTTACCCATGTCCATTAAAAAACCATGCCATTAAACAGTTTTTCTTCTACAACAGGTATCTAATGGAAAGGGTTTTCCCTCATGCAATTGTCCTAAACACAGCCTATATTATTTGTTCACTTACCTTTGTAAGAATTACTTTTTCTGCTACACCTCGACTAATTGAAGCTTGAATACGTATAGTAAATAGATTGGAAAATCATGATCTAATGGCATAAGAGCATTTCACACAGCACRCATGCTTTATAAGCATGGGTTGAACAGGCAAAATCTGTGAAATAATGTGCTTCCTTCAACACCCAACTCATYGCAGAGCACAGTTAACCTGTTGAGATGTTTCAGGCTTACTGATCTTTTCCCGCATGAGCCAGATTCTCATATATTTTGGCCCTGGAGAACGGTGCTCCCCACAAGGAGCTCCCTCACTGCAGCGTGAGCATTTGTGCAGGATGTGGCTTCTTCCCATGGATTCCAACTAGAACCAGGTTTCAGGGTGAGGCTTTTTGCCTCTTGGCAGCCCTAGCAGTGCAGAGCAGGATGAAGGCCTCACARAGCCATTCTGCAAAATTTGTGAATTTAGCCCTTTTTTTAGCCGCAAAATAACTGTTCACATACCCCTGATGCTACACTAAGGCAACACAGCAAAACAACATTGATAATCTTGCCCTGCCTTTTTGTTTACCCAATGTTATGGTTGATATGAAGAATCTAAAAGCTCATTTTCAGAGAGAATTGATTCTTACACAATTCAAACTCACAAGCTACCTTATTTTTAATCTGTTTCCTAACRCACACCAACGAGAAAAATCTGGGTATCGTGTCTTAAACTGCTATGCAAATGATGCTATTTGTAAGTATTAACATAATTTAGTGCTCACAGTCATATTCTCATTTCTAATAATTCTACCAGAATGGAGAGTCTTTTCACTCCACTCTTAGCCTGCAGGATAGTCTTTCATCAAGAAGCTGAATTTTTTAATAACCTGCCAGCATACGTTTTGTATGTGGGCGCCTATGCCAATGACACAACGTCTTCATTATGGAAAGAAACAGGTCTACATACTGTAATAGGACATTAAAGCATGCCTGTGCTCATAAACTAATGCTTTGATGTTTACATGTGCATCATTACAATGGTTTTCTGTAACAAAGGATGATTTTAATCCTCTGCTCTCAATAGTAACACTCAGYGGAGACTTCAACTCGTTATATATAAAAAAAGTCTCCCCCTCTACAAAAGAGAGCTCAACTTGGAAGGCAGAAAAATGTGAACATTCCTATTCAAACAAGATGCTCGGAATGGCAGCAAGTTTGGCTCTTCTGGCTAAGCCAACTGGAATACCAGTCTGGATTTATGGAAGCTTTCCTGCTGACTGTCAGAAATTGGATCAAATATATCATTCCATACACTTTCCAACTTCCAACAAATGTTTAAGGGCTTCTGTAGGGTCGAGTCCTGGCTGCAACAAGCTCCACTTCAGCACAGTACAAAGGATATTTGTAAAATTTTTTTTTTTTTTTTTGTGAAAAACCCAAGGAAAGCCAGTTGTCATTAGGCCCTTTATTCAAAGCCTTTTAGCTATGAAAGAATTAAAATGGTAGAGAAATAGGAACAGTAAAACTAACATCAGGTAATATGACTTAAATATAGCCCCAGACGTGATACAAATTGTATTTTATCATGTATTTTGCTCGTACCTTATGCCTTCTACCATGGTAGAAGCAGGATCTGGGCATATCCTGTGTGTACCCAGACCTACTCAGTATTGCTTGGACTTGCACAGAGGGAAGGATCGTTAGTAGGTRGGAGAAATTGTACCTTAAGTTCTGTGTTGTAATGTGGCATTATGTTGTAGCTGTCAAAAGCCAAATTATCAGCACAATTTGAAATGTTAATATACAATATAATTCAATCAAAAACTGTAAACATTTTGATGGAATTAAAAAATCAAAACAGCTATAATGACTTGTTTATGTAAATTTAACAATTCTTTCCAGATACATTCCTTCTGGCTTTAAAACAACTACACTACAAATGAATTTGGCACAATATACAGAAATATCAAATGGTTATTGAAATGAACACATTTAAATACCAATGAATACTCAAAATGCAAATAGTTCGCTCAATACCAGAACTAATGAAGTTAGCCAGATTTGTGATCTGCTTATTCAAAGCTCCACATGAAGCTTTTTCTGTAGTCGAGATGAACCATGTTATAATCTCCTCCAGTTATAGGATGTCTCTCTTTACCTATACATCCACTATAGTGTAGTTTATAGAATTGTAATGATCTCCGAGACCCCAGGTGTTCTGTCTTATAAGACTGAAAATAGCCACCAGGTTTAAAAGTTATTAGTAAGGACAAATATACAGAAACAACAATCCTTAGGAAGCCAGATTAAAAAGTGATCAGTTTGTATCTGGCCTCAAACTGATCAGTATTGTTCAACTATATTAGTCTAATGTTTATTTTAGTAAAGCCAAGTTTCTGTAAGGTTCTACCACCTATATAGTTTAATATATATGCCYTCCCTTTGGGCAAAAACACTAAGATTTTTGTGTTACTGCATATGAATTAAACAGTATAATGTCCAACTTATTCCATCACCAGACATTCACATATATTCTGGAGTATTTACCTGCCTTTTGAATTACAGTAACAAGTTCGTGGGAACAAGCCAGCCTGGTTCTATGGGGCAGACAGGACATGCTGCTCGGCTGTTACTTACGTGGGCCCACTTACAGCTCCAGGTGTCCGGGCCGTGTCTCTGCCGCTCCTTGTGCAGCCAGGGGTAGCATCTCAAGTGCGAGATAACGTCACAGAAGGCAGTGCCATCACCTCCACGTTCATCGTTGGCTTTGAACAACCAGCGCTGCACTTCCATGTTGTCCACGATCAGCTGGCTGAGGCTCTGAATCATCTGCGGATCAAGGTGTTTAGACATAAAATTTATTTTGCGCTTTTGTGCTTGTGTCATTTTCCTTCAGACTCCAGGACAATGTGAACTATGGTGAGAGGTGAACTATGCAAAGAGGAGCCTCCCTCTTCAGGCTTCTTTGCTAGATGAGGATCTCGGGTTTTGGATAATCAGTGCAGCTCAATGAACGTTCTTGACAGGGAATAATACTGGGGGGACTCGGCTATTTGCAAAATCTGAGGAACAGCTGTGCCAGATTCTAGCATCCGCAAAACATCTGTGAAACCCTCCTACTGTAGAGCATGTTATATGGTTATAAATACACGAAGGCATTATGAGGCTTTTTAAAAATGGTGCTGCTTATTTATCTGTACATGCACAGAGATTTACATGACTTTAAACTGCCTTTTGCCCAGCTGGCATAGCATGCAATTAGCTCTTGGAAACGGTGAATGCCTTTGAACCCACTGGAAGTAGGTTCATTATCAGATGTTGTTGCATTGCATGTATTTTGAAATAGTTTGTTTATTTTTTCCTTGCTTATTTGGGGGGCTTTGAGCATAAATGGAATTTGTGAGTGTTCCTGACGCTATTATTTGTGGCTTTCGAGAACCCCTAATTGTGTTTGTCTTTATGACTCCCCTACAGTAATGGAAAGGATCGATAACATTGTAAGGACTGTACCAAACCAAAGAGTTATATCCTGTCTTTAAGCGAAAATTGAATTGTACTTTAGTATAGTGTCATCTTTCTTTGATTATTTAACCAACAAAGTCAATATTTCATACAAGCAAACAACAGAAGTAGAACTTTTATAACGCTACTGTATGAATCAAAAGTATTAGATTCATATAAATTATTTAACAACAAATCAAAAGCTTGTTGTTTTTCAGATCATTGATCATGTATTTGTTTATTCCTACTACCGAGGTTGCAATACATTTGTATATTTGAGATTATTTTCAGTGCTAAAACTGATTAATAAAAAGCAAAGCAATGTGAAAAAACCTCCCTCTAAGCAGTAGGAATGCCTGCAAATAATTGTCTCGAGTATTTTCCTGTGTTAGTTGCAGGACTGCTATAAAAAATACTTAAAAAAATCCACCCAATAGATCATCCTTAGACATATCATTGCAAATTGAAGTATTAGCTTACAGAATGACACATTGAGCCTCTGAATGCAAAACAATCATATATGTGAAATGAATACACTATAGAAGACTCTTATGCCTTCTTATTGCTATTAAAAATCAGAGTTTAGTAATATTTCTGTTCTTTTTCTATGGCTGGTACTAACCATATAGGTGAATTTAGTAATGAAAAGTTAAGTACAATGTGTAATTTCAGTTGGAGATACACTCAGTGAACCTGAATTTGAAGAAGCTGCTTTCCTGAACGTGTGAAATTCTCCTTTCATCAAACACTTTGCTTCCCAGAAATCCCTGTTGTATTTTCAGTGGTGCAACCCCATTTCCTTGAGGCCATGACTTTCTCCACGGCTCCAAAAGACAAGCTATGAATGAACTAGCCCAAAAGGCCCTATGTATCCTCAGAAAAGAATCCGAGGAATGCCAGAACAACCGGATAACTTCTTGATTAGGATATGGATTACTTTTAACTGGTGAAATAAAAGAGAATAATTAAAAAAAGGAAACTTTATACCTGATTTATGCAGTCTAATCAATCCAGTTTTACAGTTCTGCAGGTAGAGAGCAGTGTGCATCCGCGCTGGTGACAAGCAGCCCGTTTGCTGCCCCACGGCAGAGCGCGCCCTGCTCACCTGCTCCGTGCTGTAGATGTCGGATTCTCCCGGAGGAGTCGGCACACGAGCACTGTCGAAGACCCGTTTGCTTCCCGACTTGCTGCCGTAGAGGCGGGCGACTTCTGGAGCCGAGCCCAATATAGGCACGTTCAGCATGTCGGCCACTGCCAGGTCGTCCTGGTGGGGCACCCCTCCGATGATGTAGGCATCCCTGCCCTGCAGGAGAAGTTTTATTTTTCTGATCGTCTTGGGACTGTACTTGAGCTGCGTGGCGAGGCACATGTGATGGCTCTGCATAAAGACAACATCATTCTTGTTAAAAGGTGCTCTTTTCTATTCCATAAACCTAATTTATAATGTTGCACACAATAAATACATTATTAATAGCAGGCTGGGTTATGACCTATCCTGTAGCTTAGCAGTTTAAATTGATAAAAGCTGTTGGGGTGAGGCTCCATAATCGTGCACATCTTTAGTGTGCTGGAAATGGGCTCACTGGGAATAGAACTAATTACTACACATCTGTATTTATTTGATCCATGCGGAATTATCCTTCTGTCAGTCGGCAAAGAAGCTGGTGGCCTTTGGATAATAGTGATTCATCTCAGCAACACTGCTGGCACGGTTTAACTCTAAAGCGTCTAAAAATCGATACGAAAAATGAAGAAAAACCCCTATAGCAGGGAACGTATTTCACCATATAGCTCAGCAGTATTTTAAGTGATTCCCTGAGAATAAAACACTTTGATTTACAAAGCCTTTCACTGATCACATTAAATTACTCGGGATATACATTTCCATTATACAGTAGGTCTGAATGCTACTGTAAACTCAGGTGCAGAACACTCGGAGAAGGGAGAGAAGCTTTTTGTTAAGGTACAGGTGTTTCAACTTTTTAGAAGCATTTTTCCCATTTTTTTCTTAAAAAAAAAAATCTATTGCTGGACAAGCTGCTCCAAGAGGCCATATCATGTATATTAAAACTAAGGGCACAAGTCAGGGTAGGTCAAGCCTCAGCAATATTTGCTACAACACATGCTATGCATCATTTGCAGATGACCCAGATACATTTTCCAGAGGGTATACAGGTGCACCGGATCACACAGGGATGGATATTATGGATATTACAAGAGATGCCCATTGCAAAAGATGGCCATAAACAAATCGTAACAAAGACTTCTTGACATTGAGATTTCATCTAATCTAGACCCCAAAAACCACATGAGTTCTCAGCATAGCTTAAATAATGAGCTAGGGATTTCCAGGATTGGGAAACATAGATTAGTTTTCTTCAGAGTCCTAAGTGCTCCTCCATGGGGGACTGAAGTCCTGATCCCATTTCATGGGTGAGGATGACTGTGCATCGGAGGMGGAGGAGCCCCTTGAAGTGGACAAAAGGAATCTCTTGTGTCCCTTCCTCAGGGCCTTTTGTGCCAGAGAAGGTCCCTCTGTGAAGGAGTCAGACACTGCAGGGAGATCTGAGCTACACATCAATGAGAACTTCAAACATGAAAAGGGAGTCCCTGAAGCTGCAGGAGAAAAGAGAGCAAATGTGGCCTCGAGTCTTTTTTCCACTGCAGGGTTATGGAGACACTGTCCATGTTAGGATTTGGTTGTTTCCTTCCTCTGGAGCGCTGGGGTAAAGGTGGGAGCCTGGCCACATTGCTGGACTTGCCCCAGAGCTCGGCCTAAGAACGGGATCAATTCCCAGCCCCGGTCACTCGCTCCCTGGGGGCACGAGCGGTGATGTAGGGAGGAGGTTTGCTTTGTGCCTCCCAATAATGGATTTTACAGTTAATTAAGGAGTTTGGGAAGCAGGCTGTAAAATAAAGTTCCCTCCTGCTTTGCTGGCAGTGTGGCTGCCACCATAGACAGTGGCAGCAGTGGGAGCAGGTAGGAGCAGGAGATCTGAGGAAGGGTAACTCGTAGCCAAAAGGCAAGTTCTTGGCACTCAAGCTGGTTGCTTTTGCAAAAAGTCCTTGAGATGGGAAAAGTTGAGGATCAGATGCAGCATGATGGGAAAAGCTGCTGTGACAAATATGGACTTGCTACTGGCTCTGAATTAGCATCACTTAACCGGTCTCACCTCAGCCTGGCTGCACAGAGATCACTGGAACGGGCACGGAGCACCAAAATCAAGGCTTAAAGATGCCCATGTTCTCCCAGACCCTCTCTGTCTCCCCCTGCACACACAAGGGATGGCCAAGGCTGCCTAGGTCTGTGTTCTTTTGCCAACCATTTTCCCCCAGAATTTCCCCCAAACAGCTAGGAAGTTGGTTAAGGCTGATTTGTACGTCTGGAATAGCTCGTGGAAGCTTTCTAGAGATGGCCTGCACATTATCACACTTTAGAAATAACTTTAGATACATTTATGTACAACAAAACTCAGATGAAAGACACTGAAAGGAAACCTAGAGAGCTGCGTTCACTACACAGACGAAGGGACAGCCAAATTCACAGTCACTGAAGCCAATGGGTGACTTGTATCAATTAAGACTAATCAGCACAGATTCTTCCTTACACAAAAGACATCCTGTATATATATAGGACACATTGGTGTCCATAGTGCTTCAACAGAAACTGGAATGTCTAAAAATGGTCTGCTTTTACATGAACAATATTTCATCCAAACCACTGTGACCAAACATCAGTTGGTAAGTGCACCTTCTATTCCTGGCTAGTGTGTCTGTGTTGATCGGCCCATAAAACAAAGGCTTTAGGATTATTTTTTTGGGGTGTATTTTACTTATAAGGTTCTTTATAGCTCCTGACATGTGCCTAGCACCAGAGAAATGAGCTAGTATCCAGAGGAAAAAAGCTAAAACTGCCGAAGTTCAATGGAAGCAAAACAACCAAAAAACATATCCCTGGTGTTTAGCAAGGATTTATCAACCAAGCAACATATTTTACAATACAAAGGGCCAAGTTTTGGCTCAGCACAGGCATATGCAATGTCAGTAAGTTCCTGATGTCCAGATAAAAGGCTAAAGAAAAGCCAGCCCTTAAAACTCACATAGTATATCATCACATTCTGAGGATTTAACTCTAGCTTTAGAGCAAAACACATACGTATGTAGAGAACACAGTCTTAACTATGGCAAAACTAGCAGACAGCTCTGAGTCAGTAGTTGCATACACCTAAGTGCTTTGCTGAACAGCAGACCAAGAGAGCTATATTTCAGAAGTAATATATATTTACTAAGTAGAAAAACCTTATTTTTTTAAAAACTTTGAAGCCATTAATTTCAATCAAAATATGTATAAATAATGATACAAATACTTATTTATCAAAATGCCTCAGAGAGGGATATATTTTGAAAACAGGAGGAGGGCTCTGCATGTAGACCCTAGAGAGATAAAACATATCACAAAATTTCATAAAGGTCAAATCTCAGCTAAGATATCGTGGACTTAATATTTACAGCATATACCTCTTCACTGTATAGTAGCTTCAGTGCACTGCAGTATTTTTAGAAATACTGTAATAATATACAGTAATTTGGGTCTTTTTTAGGCTGTGTTCCAGCAGGTGGATTAAAAAATGGCTTGACTGGTTGAAAACTAATATTTCTGTRTTTTTGTAGTAGTTACAAATTCTGTTCCCTATAGAAGCTCTGAATAGGATTTCCTTCAACAAATACTACAGACACATGAATGACTAGATGCTGGGCTGCCCAGAGATAAACTTTGAGTATTAAGAATGGTTTATTGCTGTGATTTGCTTAGAGATATAAATCTATCAAGTTCACAGTCCCAAACATATACTACGAAGAGGCAGCAGTCTATGGGTAGCTAATATAAGACTATCTCAACTAAGTCTATAAAGCTAAACTGGGATATTTATTTCCAGTGCTCTAACTAGTAGTCTAATCAGTAAAGCTCTTAAACTTGCAATAATATTTCACTGATGTGTACCAGAGCGTTACAAGTTATAAAATTTCCAATTTAATTTTACTGCATCCCTCAAGCTGTAGTAATTAGAAGACAAACTCACAGGGAAGCTGTTTATAGCTTCAGGGGTGAGAATTTTGAACCTGTCCTGCAGGTCACCCATGTCCTCAGGGTTCCCAGATCTAACAGCTGCCTGCAGACCCAGGAGTTTATTGTAATACTGCAGTAACTCCTCACTCAGATGAAGGGGGCAGATGTAGATGACGTCCACGTTGGCATCTAAAACAAAGGGGCACAATGTTCATTACTGGCAGAAAGGTAGGCTCCATTCAGAACAGCGATCTGATCATCCCTCAGCATGGGCTCACAAACAGCGTCCTTGRAAGAACACGGGAAATAAAAACGGGATCAGTAATTCCCAGATCTTCATGGTTTAACTGCTTTGCTTTTTCTGTGCTTCAGCATTTCTCTGAAGACAGGTCAGCAACCCAAAGAAATAGCTAGTTTTCAGAATTCAATCTGCAGAACATACTGGGGGCAGCTTTTTGAAAGTGTTACAGGGGGATTTATCTGCGCGACTCGCATTAACATCAATGGGAATTGTGCACTGCTTTAAAAATATATCCCATTAACTTCAGTAAATTATAAAACCGAGCTATTAAGTTTAGAAAGCTGGTGAAATTGCAATTTCATACTCCGCCTTGATTTTGCATGGCCTGATCCTATTCTTGTCCYGTCCACATAAAAGCTCACGGTAGGATACCATTAATAACCATGGCTGAGCATGTGAGTGTGCAGATTAGCTAGCTAAATACCACAGGGTGAGAATCTGCTTTTTTGCATGTGAAACCACTTGGGCTGAAAGACAGTGTACACACACTTAGACGTGAGAAAGTAAAAGGCATTAATATAAGTCATTTTGGAAGATTTAAACCACTAGGTTCTTCTAAAATAAGAATGTTAATAGATGAGCTAATGAATTAATTGGCCTTGCAACATTAACAGAACGTGCTGCCAAAAAACCCTCCTAGATTTTGACCCCGCTCCTGCCAAAAGTCGGTGGGATATCTTTCATTGTCTTTACTGGGCACAGCAATAAGAGCTCTGAAAGTGCCAGGGACAAATGTTTTTAAATGGGAATGAATCAGAAGCAAAGCAAGCACTGGAAATAAGGAAAACCCGACCCTGACAGCAAAAGGATTGGGATACCCTCCTGGCTCACTTGGTTTGCAGGGAAATAACCCACACTTGAAACATGAGGCCAGAATTTTGACTAAAGCACTGCAGCCTCTGACAGCCAGCCCCACGCCCCAGCCTTAGTGGAGCCTTTGTATCACACAGATCAGTATGAAACAACTTTTTAACTGAACAAAAACCACCAGATCTTTAGTCAATATTAAGCATTGCATTTTACTCAGACTTGCAAAATCAACCTGAAAATTTATTAGCGAGGGAACAAAAAGCTTACCCCTGTTGGCTGTAATGCTGAAAGCGCTGTCAAAACTGGCAAACCCGAGTGCATTTGGTGAATTAAATGCTGCAGAACAGTTTACTACTCTAACACTACCCTATAAGCAGATACAGAAGTCTGCTTTGGATGCAGTGGGGCTCTGGAGACAGATTAAATAGTAGCAGGTCACATCAAGCAAGGAAATCCTTGCAAAGAAAAAGAAAACCTGTCTGGTAAACGCTAATATCCTTTGGCCAGGCACAGGTAAAACATGTGATGTAGTTAATAATTTAGTCAATAATTGAATAGTTTGTACCTTACTTATGATCTGGCTTATATTCTATAGCAGAACCATTTTTTATGTTCAGAGATTTAATGGTGAGAAAGAATGCCTGTATAATGGGTTGACTTTGTCCCTTTAAGTGTCTAAATATCATTTTAGAGATTACAGAAAAACTATGTTAAAAATTTGAAAAAAATAAAAAKGTACTACAGAAAAACAACATTAGCGCCCAGATAATATATAAAAGCAATTACATTATTATTTTAGGCAACTGTAAATTTCTACATCTAATACATTTTTGTTACAAACTTACTCAATGGCATTTATAAAATAATCATGATACTGAAATATATATGAATGATGTAAAGTATGTCATTCCAGGGAGCCAACGAAGCTGGTCACTGACAAATAACGTTCTTAATTGCTTTGYTTAGAAGAGGACTGTCATTCTAGTAAAAACTTTTTAATATATGCCTCTTGCCTCAACTGCTAATTAAAAAAAAWGGTTTAAATAAGAGCTCACTCTTTTCCAGCACATCTTTCTCCCCATATGGGGCTGAGTGCTCATAGCAGAATTAGCTACCTAATTTTGTAGGACACCAAGCACTTTGGCTGGCTCGTGGTGCTCAGCGTGCCACAGGATCAGGCAGCTTTACCTTAGCACTGAGTCAGAAAGAATCAATAGGCTCTTCTTATGAACAATTTGGGCAGGAGCAAATAGCACAGTAGATAAATTACTTCTGAGGAGGTGTGTTCTCTATATTCAGTATTAAAACAGCAAGAAAGTCCCCATCAGTCACTCGCTTTTACTCGCAAATATGGGTAAATAACAATCAAAACACAGGCAGGCACCAGCTCATAACGTACCCAGTATGTCACACAGCCTTCCCATCTGCAAATTCTGCTGAAGAGCAAGATCAGGAATATGCTCACGGATGCTCTGGGGATACCCTGGAAAACAAGCAGAGCCCACCTCAAATCTATTCTAAATCCCTGKCGTATATTTKATATATAYGCATATATAYATTTTAGATAAAAGAAGGTAATAAAAGTATTTTAAATGCCAAAAGTGGTATTGCATAAAATGCATCATTTTTATGAATTCATTTGATTAATGAATTGATGTAACATTATTTTTGTATGATAAAATTCTAAATAAAGACCTAAACATTACAGGCTTAGAATAATTCAAAACTACAATCATTTGAATATTTTAAGCTGATTAAAAAAATTATCATTAAGTGAGAAGCCCGGTAGAGTGTGGTACTTYTTGTTCTTCAMAGAGATAAAWGAAAGATTTCATTGAAGAGAAGTCTCAGTGACACCTGATTGCTCTGCTATAGACATAAACCTGCTTTGGCCAGAAGCCAGTGGAGTTTTGATTCCAAGAACCAGTGCTTTAGGTGCCATATTCGAGCAAAGCAGACCCCGCGAGGTGGGCAGGAGCTGGCAGCACCGGAGCACCGGGATGTGCCCGTGTGTCCGGTGTCACCCTGGTGCTCCGATAGCTGCTCCACGGCTGCAGCCCTCGCACAGGGACAACCCAAKAACCTCCTTTCCCACCTCGGCAGCGCTGAGAGGCCACCGAGCAACTTCCTGCCCTGTTTACGACAGTGAACGTGCAGTGACTTCAGGGGAAGGATCCAAGCTTGCACAGGGACACGGGTAGGGAGAGTTATCGAAGTCCTAAAAACAGCCGAGTGAATTAATGGCAAAGGGCTCTCACGTCCTCTTTCAACCTCAGTCGTGACTTAATGCCCCTGAATTGCCATTTTCCTAAATAAATTTTGCTCATCTCAAAGCATCTTCCCTCAGCAAAGAATCCAGAACAATTCCCAGCTTGCCTTTGGAAACAGGTAGCAGGATGAAGCCAATGGTTTGAAGGAGGAAGAGGACAACAGGTTGGCCAGGACACAGGCACCTTGGCCCCTCAGTGCTCGGGATAGATCCAATAAATAACACTTTTCCCACTGTACTTGGCATGCCTACAGTATAACTGAAACTGCTTTTATAAAAGAAATCTAGTTTTTGATTTGGTGAAATAAATGGAAAGGTTTGTTCCTCGCAGCAGCGTAATTTGATCCTTCGCTTTCCCTTCCACT